GGGCACCAAGCCAGCTCTACACAGCACACAGTGAGCATTGCTAGGGGTGTGATCGGAAAGCTGATGGCTAAAGAGAAAGGAGCCCTCCCAGAAGAGCTCTGGAGTTTCCAGCAGAGATGTAGCTCAACCATTCCCTCTTCCCTGAGGAGGAGCTTCATTGGTGCTCCTCTTTCTAGGGGGGAGAGCCTCAGCAGTCAGAGCCCTGACACTGTCCCATGGCTTGGCATCCTGAGGTGGGCACAGGGGTCAAGAAAAGCTGCTGTGAGGAGGAAGCATTTGAGCAGATACCTGAAGGAACTGAAGACAAATCTTAGACACAGCTCTCCTCTTCCCCAGCATCCTCAAGTCCTGGCCTCTTGCCCTGAAAACTGCTCACCTCATAGCCTTGATCTCCCAGGTCTGGAGACTACTTCATTGCCCCAATGGGCCTTCAGTTCTCCAGTGCAGGGGGTTATGGTAGGCCCCATATCTCAGGGTCTTGGAAGAAAGGGTTGTCTTGGATTAAGAGCCCTGGGATTGACTGGACCTTGGCTTCTGCTACAGGAGATGAAAACAGAAACCAACATTTATGACGCACCAGCGACCTGGGAGGCCAAAGTAAAGTTGTTGTTTTTTTAATGTAAGATGTACATAACAACCCTGGCCAGTGTGGCTCTGCTGGTTGGAGCATCATCCCATAGCCCAGAAGGCTGCAGGTTTGATTCTTGGTCAGGGCACATACCCAAGTTGTGAGTTTGATCCCCAGTGGGCCACGTACAAGAAGACAATCTATTGATGTTTCTCTCTGGCATCAATGTTTCTCTCTCTCCCTCTCCCCCTTCCTCTCTCTCGAAAAACAATGAAAAAATGTCCTTGGATGAGGGTAAAAAACATTAAATATATACATAACACAAAAATTACCATTTTAAATGTATGGTTCTGCGGCATTAAGTACATTCACATTGCTGTGCAACAATCACCACCATCCCTCTTCAGAACTCTTTCACCCTATACACTAAAACTCTGTACCCACTAAACACTAACTCCCCCAGTGCAGGGACTTGCATACTTAACCCTTATAATCCTTATTGTAAGACAGGAATCCCCATTTCACCAATGAGGACACTGAGAAACAGATGAGGAAAGTAGTGCTGCCTTTCCTGAGGACAGACAGGCAGGAAGAAGACGTGAATCCCAGTCTACCTGATTCCAAAGCCTGTGCTCTCTGTAGTTCCTCAGCCAGAGTTACCCAAGATTTAGGGCCATTATGGAAACGGCACTGCTGAGCGATGTCACTGACAACTAGTGACTTTCCACATGATGTCACACACTGAACTATGGCTGGCAATGGGGACACTATTAGCTAGCATGGATTTTAGTTCTCAGGAAGGGTTTGCAAAACAACGGCATGATTCATCAGTCTTTTGACCACTTCACATCACATAGCACATCCTTCCTTAAACGGGTACCTCTCTTCAAAGTTGACTGTGTTCATTCCAGGGTGCTGGGTCCTTGACTGCCCAGGGACTCGCCCTCTGCCATGTGGAATAATAAAAAGGGCATGAGCATTGTGGTCCTATGTGCTTGGGTTCAGATTCTGCTCTGTCACCCTATAACCATTCCAGTCCAACTCATAGGGCAAAGTTAGCTCAGACATAGAAGGTCAATGTCAGAATGCATGAGAAACCATGGGGGCCTCTCATGATACTCCAGGGTCAGGTGCTGAAGCTGGGAAGAAATCTAGATTGAAGACTCCTCAATGGCTGAAGGTCATAGCTCTTCCACACCAGACTCCAGCTGCCCTTAATGTGATTCAGACACACTGGGCAAGTCTGCTTCTCTCCCAGCCACTGGTTGCTGCTGGGGAACTCTTTAATTTAGGATGAGATTTCTAAGAGAGGGAATCTGATTACCCCAGTTTGTATTTTTTCTGCTGGGCCATAAATTAGAGTGACTGGCCAATCCATGTACTGACTAACCTTGAGTCAGAACCTCCCTCTGGTCTAATCACCTAGGGCAGAGGAGGTGGATAAGTGGTGGTTTAAGAAACTGGGGGTTGGGGTGTCATGTAGTATATTATAGGGCCTGCAGCCAAGTTTTGGCCAGGACAGAGTCTCTTGACGGGGGCTGTGGAGTGAGTGGGTAAATAGGTCTAATATACTATGCTAAGTATACAAGTTGCTTAACCTCTCAGGGCCTCAGTTGCTTTCTCATTTACACAAATGGGACAATAAATCTAACCTCATAGGATTGTTGTAAAGACTGAATGAGAGAACAAAAGTCAAAGTGGCTAGCAGATGCCTAATAACAAGTAGGGGCTTAATAAATGTTGGTTTTCCTTCCCTCCTATAGGAAAGGCCACTTCCAGTGCTATATTGTGCTATATTTATCTCAGCTAGAATAAATAAATAAATATAAATAAACCCAAAATGGGGCTCTGTCTTCTGCAGCAGATTAAAGCCTCCCTGAGGACAAACATCATGACTCATTTTCCTTTTGTCTCCCTCTTGGCACTTCCACTTGATATATTTTATTCTCTCTTGCTGAAATGGGTCTCCTAGCCAAGTACCTAGTAGGAGAGAGATGAGTTTCCTCCTTTACATTCATGAAAGGCCAGGTCTGCTAGCTAACCTTCTCCAAAAGCCATTGGCAGCATGAGTGATGGGGAGCAAAGAAGGCTCCTATGTCAAAGGGAAGATAAATGTGTCCCATCTCTTGGGAGGACGATTTGATGGAAAACCTAGGACAAGGTAGAATTTTTCTTTGAAATGCTATGAGAAAATAGAAATATAATACGTCTTCCTCCAACCCAGGGGCCTGGGAAAGAGGACTTATTTTTCAATGGTTAACCTGTGCTCACAGGAGTTATCCTAGGCCTCATTTGATCATTGACTCAGCAAATTAAATATTTATAAAATGTCTGCTGCTGTGGAACTTACAAGCTCATCGGGGAGAGACAATAATTAAACAATCTCATTCGTGAATATATAAGTACAAATTATGATGAGCATGAGGAAGGGGAGATACATGTTCTAGGAGAGCATATGCCAAAGAGCCTGACCTAGATTGGGGAATAGGACCACGTTAAAGATTTTGACCTTCATTGTGATAGCAATGGGAGATCATTGAAAAGTTTAAGCATGGCTTTGGCTTGATCAGATTTGTGTTTTGAAAAGATCACTCAGCTACAAAGAGGAGACTAGACTTTAGGAGGCCTGTTGTGCTAATTCCAGCTAGAGGTAACGGTGTCTTTGACTTTGGTAGTGGTAGTGGTGGTGAAGATAGAGAGAAGTTATGGACTAAAGGGACATTTAGAAGATGAAATTAACAGACCGGGTGACTGATTGTATAAGGGGGAAGGGCAAATATGGTAAGGACAAGGGTTCTGGCTTGTATAAATGGACAGAAGACAACAAGGGAAAAGACCACAAGTGAAGTCTTAGACAGGTTATCCTGAGGAGCCTTTGAGATAGCCAAGTGCCATTATTGAATTGGCCGTTGGATATCTGGTTCTGGAGCTCCAGGAAGAGGTCAGACTTGAGATATCAAGTGTATGAGTCCTTTACTCAGGGGTAGTTCAAAGGCAGTAGAAGAGTTCACCTAAGGAGAGAGTAGAGAGTGAGAAAAAAAGAGGACCTAGGGTCAAACCCTGAAGAACTCAGACATGTCGGTTAGGGCAGTGGCTCTCAAGGTGTGATCCATGGATTCCTGGGAGGTTCCCAAGATCCTAAGGGTCAAAACTATTTCCATAACACTATTAAGACATTATTTACCTTTTTCACTGCATTCACATTTGCACTAATGGTGCAAAAAAACAGTGGGTAAAATAGCTTGCACCTTAGCACAAATCAAAGCAGTGGCACTAAACTATACTAGCAGTTCTTTTTTTTTCTTTTAATTTTTTAAAAAGATTTTATTTATTTCTTTTTAGAGAGAGGGGAAAAGAGGGAGAAAGAGAAGGAGAGAAACATCAGTGTGTGGTTGCCTCTCATGCACTCCCTACTGGGGCCATGGCCTGCAACTCAGGCATGTGCCCTGACTGGGAATCAAAACAGTGATCCTTTGGTTTACAGGCTGGCACTCAATCCACTGAACCACACCAGTCAGGCCTATATTAGCACGTCTTATACTCATCACTGCCACATATATGCAGTAAAAAAAAAAAAAAAACCCAAAAAACAAACTTTTTCACTTAGAAATATCCTTGATAAAATAGTAAAAATGATTGATTTTTACTAAATCTCAACATGTGAGTACATCTTTTTAATATTCTGTCTGATGAAAGAGAAAGTACACATAAAACGCTTCTGCTGTATTCCAAGTACAATGGTGGTTGTCTCCAGGAAAAGCACTGCTGCAGTTGTCTGAATTTCAAGCTGAACTAGCCTCTTTTTTCATGGAACATCATTTTTCTTGAAAGAACAACTGAAAGACAAACTAAGATTATTCAGATTGGAGTATTTGGCAGACAGTTTCCCCAAAATGAACAAAGTGAGCCTGTCACTTCAATGAAAACAACTGAAAGCATTTGCTGCCAATGATAAAATGCAAGCTTTCAAGCAAAAATTAGAATTGGGAACACTTGTATCTGCCACAATGAACTTGACATCTTCCCAATGCTTAAAGACTCCTCTAAAGAGATTGATAGTGATATAATGAATGTGATTTTAAAAATATAATGAAATGTATCAACATTTGGAAGATCTTTATAACTAACGAGAATCTATTTTCCAAGTGACCAATGCATGACGTTACAAAGACTATTCAAAGTGCAAGACACACCAGTGGATTTTAATGTAATAGAATAGGAATTGATTGATATGGTTTGAGATTCCACATAGCAGTTAACCTTTAAGAAATTACCATGTGTCAAGTTTTGGTGTAGTATCAAAGAAAAATATCTACGATTATTTCAAAGCTAAAATATTCCTCCCTTTCCCAAGTCTATGGAAGCAAGGTTTTCTTCATATACTTCAACCAAAACACATATTGAAACTGACTGATGCATCTGGGAGAGCAAAATGAGTCACCAGCAGCTTTACTGGAGTCATCCGAGAAAATTTGCCCAGGGTTGTCATTCTTGCCACGTCTACTTAAATTGGCATGGTCGGATCCAAAAATACAGCTTCAGTATGTGCTGCCAGTGTTTCTGTCAGTACATGAAGGATATAGGCCTCATTAAGTTGGACTAAGTGAGTTTCCGTGAATGGGTCATTCAAGACATCTATTTTACTGCAGAAACAATGCTAGCTAGCTCTTTGTACACAAAATAAAATTTTTAAAACTTCAACAACAACAACAAAACTGATTAAATAAAAAGTAGAAATGAGAACCCACGTGTCTTCTATTAAGCTGGATAGTAAAGAAATTTCAAAAATGTATAAAACATCCAATCTTATTAATTTTTTTAATTTTGGAAAATACAGTTTTTTCACCAAAATGTGGTTTATTTTAACATATAATGGTTTATTGTTGCTGTTTTTAAATGGATTAATAAATGTTCCTTTAATTTTCTCAGTTTGTTGGGGGGTTTTTTAAGAGAGACATTGATTTGTTGTTCACTTATTTATGCATTGTTTGGTTGATTCCTGTATATGCCCTGATCCAGGATTGAACCTTCAACCCTTGGCATATCAGGACAATGCTCTAACCAGCTGAACTACCAGGCCAGGGCTAATTTCTCAGTTTAAAATTTTAATACAGCAACTATCAATCGGTATAACCCATATAAACAAAAGCTCTGGGAGGCCCTCAATAATTTTTAAGAGTGTAAAGGAATCCTGAGACCAGAAAACTTGAGAAGTCCTGATTTATAAACTCCAATCCCCTCATTTTGGGGTCATTCTATACCATCTCCATGGACAAACAACTTGTAATAAAGTATCCCTCCTAATTTGTAATATGTCTAGGGAAGAGGAAACAATATGACTCACGTATACTTACAATGTTTAGAACGCTGTCAGTTCCCAAAAGGTACCAGGAGAAATTCCCTATCAGAAAGCCCCCGCACGTACCCTGTCCTTCTCTCTTCCTCTCAAAACTAATGGTTCAAATGAGTCAGTAAAACCCAACATCGCCTCTTCCCGTCAGCACATTCTACCCTTGATTTTTCATTCTGAGGCTGGTCAAGGCACTGCTAGTGGAAGGGAACAGGAAGGGGCAGATAGGGTCAGATGTGTTTCTGAAATGCCAGCACATTCAATTTTTTGGGTATTTTGTGTGCATTTCCTCTTGAGTTCACAGGCTCCTAACTCAGCAGAATTAAAATGGAATGAAGTAATTAGAGCAGCAGGCTGTGAGGATGTTCTGGATCTGGCATACACAGAAAATGTGGAGCAGGAAGAAAAGGAGAGAAGAGAGCCTTAAAGCAAAGGGCTAGGCAAGAGACCCCATCTCAAGGATCAGCTCCTTGGGAAAGCCCCTGAATCTCCCCAATCCCTGGGTCAGGAGCTCTCTCTTCAGCTTTGCTTTCTAAGAACCTACTCCTGACGTGGCCCCTCACAATCAGCCCTCTTTTCAGACACTCTTACCAGATGCACCTTATCTACTCACACTAAACCCATCATTGTCCCCTTATGACAATGTTCTTTGTGCCTTTGTACTTGCATTTATTACATTGTACTGAAATACTTGCTTATAGGTCTGACTCTCCCATGAGACCAGTAGCTCCCAACCTTTGGATTTCAAGCATACATTGCATCCTACTCACTAAGCAATTGCCACCTCATAATAAGACTTTCTCCTTTTGGTAGCCAGACTGATTCCTAAATTAGTTTAAACCTGCAAACCCTGTTATAATGAAGCAGCCTTGTTATGGTACAGTAGTTTGAGTTTAGGTGCTGTCTAAGCAGTATGATTGCAGGGATTGCTCTTGGTGGGTGGGTTATCTGTGCTGGGGACCATGGAAACCCTGAATGTCTAATTTTGATAAAAGCTGATGACCACATTCTATTACCCCCATAAAAGTCAGGGCCAGAGCCATCCTGTTCCTGTTTCACCAGCTTTTCCTGTTACACTTGCTGGATCTCTCTGAGAATTGCTCACCTTCCCCTAACCAGATGACTTAAATCCAGACTTCCTGGGCCTGTGGGTTCCTAAAACATCAGCCATCCTTTCTGTTATCAGGAGGAGGAGCCAATCCCTAGAGAGGAAATTGCTGAATCCTGAATCTCTTACGAAAAGGGACTCTCCCTTTCCCCCATTTCTGAGTCCAGGGAGGGTGGGAAGTGGCACAAGAGCCTGCTCTTGTCTCAGTTGTCTCTGGTAAATCCATGTTCCCTGCATAGCTCCACTCCCTTAGGTGAAAAGGCCTTTTCTCATTAGAATGAGAAAATTAACCTTTAGTAAATTTCCCTCACACACATAATTTTTGATATATGACAAAAGATTGCTGATTTTTCACTTTGCCAAGAAAGTAAACTGAAAACAAAACAGAGCAAAAAATGACCATCTACTATCATCTTTTCCAAGTATGAACATACGTATATAACCTCACACTGAAGAGGAGAAGTTTTTATACTGATTATATTTAGCTTTATTTAAAGACTCACTACATTGTCCTTGTTTTTTCCCATTTCATCATGGCAGTAAAATGGACCAGTGAATATTCCAGTATGGAGTTAGGAAAAAACTAAACCAGACTGCGAGCTCTTCTGAGCAAAGAATGTTTTTTATTCATTTGTGTTTTCTCAGAGCCTGGTTTATGATCACATATTTGTGGAAGAAAAGAAGAGAGGAGTGGAAGAAGGAAAGGATTCCTCAGTTGAGGACCATGATAAAAAATACATGTGAAGCTCTATTGTACATGGGGCCCTGGAACAAATTGTTTCCACCCCATTCTATTCTGTGGCCTCCTGATAAAGCAAAGAGCTGATTATCCTACTACCTTGTTTGACAGCCTTCAGTAGTTCCCACAGCCTATGTAATAAATTCCAAACTTCTTAGCAGAGTGTACTGGTTCGTCCACAAGTGGTCTCTAATTTCCCCCTCCAGTCCTCTTTCCAGACACTCTCACAGAATGCCCCTAATCTCTACTACCAAACTAACCATTCCGCCTGACCATCATGCTCCTCTGTGCCTTTGTAATTCTGTTCCCTGTGCCTGGATTCGGCCTTCTCCCTCCTTCCAGACCGGCCAACTCCCAGCTATCCTTTAAGAAGATCCACCTTATGTGCCTCCTTCCCTTCCTCTTTCATGTTAGCTGTTCGCTCCTCTGAGATCACGTTACCTGTGCAATAGCAATCACCAACCTGGATTGTAATTATTTCTATGCCTGTTTTCCCCACAAGACTGCCCCTTGTGGGGCAGGGACCGTGACTGTTTCCATTCTCACCTCTCCAGTGGTTGGCACTGTTTGTGAATAAATGAATTAATTTTAAAAAAAAAGAAAGAAAGAAAAACCCAACAACCAAAAACCCAGCTAACCATCCCTTTCTTGCTGGGCAGTCCAGAGATAGAGGCAACTGTGAATTAAAGTAGTAAAGTCAGGTTCCTTCTCCCACAGGGAAAAGCCATCAGAAACAATACCAGTCCTTGAAATCCATGACCAAAACCTTAATGCATCCTTCACTGCCGTTAGTGCCTGAGGCATTGCTGAGCCTGAGCAAGAAAATTCAGGTATCATTTCCTCCACAAACTCACTTACACAAACCCATTGAAGTTACCATTGCCAACCACACCAACAGGAGCCTTGGGCCTCAGTAAAGGAAAAGAGAGTTTGGGCTGAGGGCTTCAAATTTAGATTTTGGTTGATACTGAACTTGTAGCTGAAGAGTAGAGTCAGGGTGTGCTGATCACTGCCACACACTTGCCAAACATAAAATCTGGGAAAACATCCATGAAACTATCCTTTCCTATGGTCTTTGTCTGCTTGTTCCTAATTATTATTATCATTTTAATGAGTCACCACCCCCTATAAATTCCACATTAACTTGTCCCATGTCTTTTAGCCATGACCCTTAAAAAGTGGCGACAGGATGTGCTTCTTGACTCATATCTTTAGGACCCAGCTAAGACTCCTATGACCCCGGCTCCACCATCTCTGTTAGATTAGTTCATTTGAGCAGTTCCTCAATTCTGGGAAACCAGGGATACCTGTGCCTGTCTACCAGCAGAATTTTAACCTCCTCTGGAGTCCTACAGCAACCTGGAGCCGGCAGGGTAGCCAGTTTACCATTGCCCCAGGGCAGAAGGGGAGTTAAAAAGACCGAGAGGCAAAGGTTACACAGAGGTTAGGAAAGACCAAGTAGGAGAGGGAGAACAAAGGTATTCAGAGAGGAAAATCACCAAAGGGAGTGGGAAAGGGCCAGAAACAAATATTACCAGAAAAGAGGAAAAAGAGTGTAGAGGTAAATGATCACATAGGTGAAAGCAGCAAAGATGGAACAGGCTGAAAGAGAAGGAGCCAATCTCATCAAAAGATCCATCAATTTCCTCGAGAGTAGGGGCAGTCTCATATTTGTTTTCTGCATCTCCCATATAAGCCCCAAAGTGTTTAATAACTACTTATTAATTCCAGCACTGGTGATGGACAAGGCTTTCAACAGAATTTCTCTTTCCATCCCAGGCTCTCAATTTTGTGTTAGATGCAGGATTTCAGGCTATGAAGACCTTACATCAACAGGGTTTACCACAGGGGCAAAACCGCTGGGGCTATACTTTCCAAAGGGGGCTGTGGACCTTGGTTAACCTATCAAGCTGTGATATTTGCCCAATTCTCTGAACTGTAGGTGAATAACTCCCTTTGGCTGGATGCAGAAGGAATTCAAATAAAAAATCTGTGTAAGGATGCATAGTCTCCGGTGCACTCTGCCTATATCCCCCTATATATAACCTCCTATAAGGGGATTCACAGAGAACTTCTCATTAATTTCAGCCTGGGGGCTGTTTTCCCATGCTAGGTCCCTGAGCCATCCTCCCTCTCTCTCCCCTTCATATAACCATTTACTGAACTGCCTGTCTTCCCTGCTCTCTGGGCTGGCTTCTGCTAAGGGAAGGTGTGAAGGCAGGATTGCTCCAAGTATTCTCTACTCTGCTAGGCTTCTCAATGCTCGGTGAAAGTGTTTCCAACTCCTTCCCTTCTAGATCCCCCAAACAATTTATCCCTAGAGTCATCTTGGTAGAAATCCCAGCATTTCATAACTTTCTCTTTTTATGTTCTAACTTGACCTCCCTTCTGTTTTACAGTTAAATC